GAGCGCACTACCGCTTGAGCCACATCCCCAGCCCAAGCTGCTGGGATTACATTTGACCACCACCACACCAGGCTACTTTTTTTTTTTTTCCCAGTACTGGAAATTTAACCCAGGGCCTTGTGTATGTTAGACAATGCTCTGCCTCTAAGCTATATCCCCAACTAATTTGTTACTTTTATTTTTCATTTTTATTTTTGTTTGTACTGAGGATTAAACCCAGGAGCACTTTATCATTGACCCATATCCCCAGCCTTTTATTATACTTTATTTAGAAACAGGGTTTTGCTAAATTGCTTAGGATCTCACTAAATTGCTGAGGCTGACTTTGAACTCTGGATCCTCCTGCCTTAGTCTCCCACAACACTGGGATTACAGGCACTGGCCACCACCACACCAGGCTACTTTTTTTTTTTTAGAGAGAGAGAATTTTAATATATATATATATTTTTTTTAGTTTTTGCTGGACACAACATCTTTTTATGTGGTGCTGAGGATCGAACCTGGGCCACACACATACTAGGCCAGCGCGCTACCACTTGAGCCACATCCCCAGCCCCTAGGCTACTTTAAAAAAAAATTTTTTTGGCAGTGCTGGAAATTGAACCCAGGGCCCTGTACATGCTAGGGGAGCACAGTACCTCTGAGTTACATTCCCAGCTAATTTGTTACTTTTACAATTAGAAATCTAAAACCAAAGTTATATTCTGATGTTCATAGTCATATACATCATAGTTTTGACTCTCTTATTTTACCAGTTTATCCCTAAAAGACAAAAGGAACTAGAGTAGTGTCAGGAATAAATGGAAATTGTTCTGACCAGTATATGAAAGATTGAAATTTGGTGCTGGGATTTAGCTCCATGGTAGAGCTCATACTTAGCATGTTTGAGCCCTGGGTTCAACTCCCAGCACTCTACCACCAAAAAACAAACAGTTGGAATTAAAATGCTCTCTGACTTTTTGAACTATTCATACCTCACTAAAAATCATTGGAATTTAAATTGAAAATAGTATTTATTTTAAAAGAAAAATAGACAATGTGCTATCATTTTTACTGAATGGAAAAATGTTTAAAAGATTATAAATATACTGTATTATCAAGCATGTAGGATATCAAGAATCTTTTCAGACATTTTCAATGAGCTTGTGAAACTGATGTGACTATTCTGCAGATATTTTATGTAGTTGGATACCATCAATCTGTAGTTTCTTTTTTTTTTTTTTTTTAATATTTATTTTTTAGTTTTCGGCGGACACAACATCTTTGTTTGTATGTGGTGCTGAGGATTGAGCCCAGGCCGCACGCATGCCAGGCGAGCACGCTACCGCTTGAGCAACATCCCCAGCCCCTGTAGTTTCTTATCTAGGATTTTTTCCTTAAAAAGCACAGAAAAGTACTGAGGTCCTTTTTAGAAATTGCTTATGACTTAATAGTTACAGAAAAATTGAAAGCAACCTAAATGTATATTGGGGGTTTTGGTTAAATTATGATACGGGGAAATACCACACAGCCATACAAAGATATTGAGATTGATGTTTGTACATGATAATGAAGCACAGAGATATACAACATGAAGAGTTTGGCCCTATTTGTACAGAAAAAAGGTTGTCTCTGTATGTGTATGTATGAGTTTTATGGACAGGATTTCCAGGAAGATACGCAAGAAAATCAGTAAGCAGTAATTACTTCTCATCCGTGGCAGGCTCTACTATTATACTTTATTTATAATAAAGTTGGGGATTGGACCCAGGAGTTTGCTCTGCTGTTTTATTTTTTTTGTGGCCTACTTAAATTTATTTACAATAAATATAATATATTTTATAATTAAAAATGCCTTTTTAGGGATCGGAGATGTGGCTTTTTGGAGGGGAGCTTGCCCAGTGTGCTTGAGAGCCTGGGTTCAACTCCAGCACTGAAATAACTAAACAGGTAAATAAATAAATAAATATGCCATTTATTTATTTACTTATCTGATACTGGGGATTGAACCCAGGGATGCTTAACCACTAAGCCACATCCCCAGCCCTTTTTATTTTTATTTTTTAATTTGAGACAAGGTCTCCCTAAGTTGCTTAGGACCTTACTGAGTTGCTGAGGCTGGCCTTGAACCTGTGATCCTCATACCTCAGCCTTTTGAGTTACTGGGATCATAGGCGTGTTCTACCATGCCCAGCAAAAATGCCTTTTAAAAAAATGAAAAGACTTGGTAGTTTTAAAAGTATTCATTAAAAAGATGTTGCTGCCTGAGAAAATTGACTTCCTGTCGACATGGTTTGCTAGGAATGATGGCCCCCCTCTGGAAAGCTCAATGATGACTCCAGTTCTGTGGCCACAGAATCCTAGAATTGGAGAGTCCAGAAAGGTGACATGTCCAAGCTCAAACAGTGACTGTCTTTCCTGCTTTCCCTTTTGGATCTGCCCTTTTCCACTCCCCGGTGGCTGCATGAGTTCCTAGGAAGCCCTTACCTGACCTTTTCCATTATGAATAAAAGGAAAACGATTCCATGAGGTAGAAGTTTGAGAGTAGAGCTGGAGATGGAGACTAGAAATTTCTCTGTGTATGTGGGATTCTTGTTTGAATTTTTTTTTTTTTTTTTGGTGCTAAGGATCCAACCCAGAGGGCTGTCCATGCTTACCACATGCTCCGCCACTGAGCTCTACCCACCAGTTATTGTCTTTGGGAGAATGGAGATCTAGGATTTTTCTTTGCCCCATGATTGAATTTGAGGACATAGAAAAATAAACAATCACCTGTAATTCTTCTATTCAGACTGGTTACTGTTATGTAAAAAGTTTTTGTTGAAAACTACAGGGAAGCCTGTACATCCCAAGCATATTGCTTGATGCACCATTCCAAGCCAAATTCACCTGTGCAGCCAGGCCCTGCTTTCTGGAATTTGCCTATTAGCTTGTTCCTATCACTGCCTTCCTGTCACCCCAAAAGAAGCAATTGCCCTGGTTCATTTACTATTATATTTTATCCTATGCATGATTTTGATGTTGTTTTGTAGTGCTAGGGATTAAACAAGGGTGTCACACATGTTATGCAAGTGCTCTACAACTGAGCTACATCCCCAGCCCATTATATTTTTTAATATTTTTAGTTGTAGACGGACACAGTACCTTTATTTTATTTATTTATTTTTATGTGATGCTGGGGATTGAATCCAGTGCCTCACATGTGCTAGGCAAGTGCTCTACCACTGAGGTACACCCCCAGCCCTTATTATTATTATTTATATATTTGCTTAGTTGTATATGGACACACAATACCTTTTATTTTATTTGTTTTTATTTTTATGTGGTGCCAAGGATTGAACCCAGTGCCTCACACATGCTAGGCAAGTACTCTACCCCTGAGCTGCAACCCTGGCCCCCTATTATTGGTTTTCAAAATAGAGTTGTAGTTACACTTCTGAAATTTTTCTGATTTTTTTTTTTAATATTTTGTGTTAATTGTAGCTGGACACAATGCCTTTATTTTTTATTTTTATGTGGTGCTGAGGCTCGAACCCAGCACCCGGCACATGCTAGGCGAGTGCTCTACTGCTGAGCCACAACCCCAGCCCCTTCCTGATCTTTTCTTAGGAATAATCTTTTTTTTTTTTTTTTTTTTTGGTACTAGGGAATTGAAACCAGGGGCCCTTTACCATGGAGCTATATGCCTAGCCCACTTTAATTTTTATTTTGAGACGGGGTCTCGCTAAGTGCTTAGGGTCTCACAAAGAGGTTGGCCTTGGTTCTCCTGCATCAGCCTCCTGAGTCATTGAGATTACAGGTGTGCGCCACCCCGTCTGGCTGGTATACTTATTCTTTTTGCTTTTAGAAAGAATTGGATCAGCTGGGTGTGGTGGTGAACATGGTTTTGGAGGCTGAGGCAGGAGGATTTCGAGTTGAAAGTCAGCCTCAGCAACTTAGTGAAACACCCTAAGCAACTTAGCAAGACCCTGTCTCTAAATAAAATTCAAAAGAAGGCTGGGGATGTGAGCAAATAAATAGATAAGTGCTCCTGGGTTCAATCCCCAGTACCAAAAATGAAAGAGTGGGGTCAAACTTCATTCATGATTACATACTGTTTTTTTCCTGAGACAATGTCTCACTGTGTTGGCAGGCTGATCTCAACCCTTGGGCTGAAGGTCATCCTCCTGCCTCAGCCTCTCAGATAGCTGGAACTACAGGCATGTGCCACTGTATCCCATCATTGCATATTATTTTTATTTTATATGAATTTTTTAAAAGTATGAAACGCTTCTCACAAAGTTGTGTGTCATCCTTGCACAGAGGCCATGCTAATCTTCTCGGTATTGTTCAAATTTTATTTTGATGACAAAGCAAGCAACTGCACATTATTATTATTATTATTATTTAACCTTTCTTTCTTTCTTCCCTCCTTCCCGCCTCTTTCTTTCCGTGGTGCTGAGGATCGAACCCAATGCCTCACCTGTGCTAAGCAAGCACTCCAGCACTGAGCCCCAGCGCTGAGCCCCAATGCTGAGCCCCAGCCATGCCCATTATTTTTAAAGACAGCTTTCCATTGTATGTGCATTTGTACTATTGTGTTTTGAACCAATGTTTTTTTCTTATACGTGTATCTCTATCCTTGCCTTGAATGTAAATATTGACTCTTGGTCTTGGTATTCTTTTTTTTTTTTTTTTTAACACTAGGAAAGAAACATCTTTATTTACATGTACTTGATAATAGTGATGGGATTCTCAATATCAAAGGAAAACTTGACAAACTTATAAATTTTATCTAATCTGTGATTATGATGGTATATTTGCCATATCTTCTCCTAAAGAATAAAGATAATATTTGTACAAGTTGTTTGAAAACAGTTAAGAAACTCAGTATTTTTTTGTTGTTGTTGTTTTGAGAAGGAATGTAGTTATGTTTTCCAAGCTGGCCTTTAAAGTCTCAACCTCATACTATTCTCCTGCCTCGGCTTCCTGACTAGCTGGAACTCCAGGCATAGTCTCAGTATTCTTTTTTTTTTTTTTTTTTTCCCCTTTAGTATTGGGGATTGAACTTGGCCTCTTGCAATGCTAGGCAAGTGCTATACCTCTGAGTTATATCCCCAGCCTTTTTAAAAATTTTTGATATATATCTGAAAGTCCCACCATCATCGGAGGTTAAAAACTATATGCATATGTTACTTTGATTAAGAACAAATTTAAAATTTCTGAATAATGTGACTATCACTTTTAACATTTATATAAGATCATATCAAGGGTACATGATTAAGACCACAAAAAAAAAATTTTTTTTTAATACAGGGTCTTGCTAAATTGCCCAAGCTGCCCTAAGATTTGCAATCCTCCTGTCCTGAGCAACCAGGATTACATGCGAGAACCGCTATACCCATTTCAGTCTTGGTATTCTTTTTTTTTTTTTTGGTGGGGGAAATACTGGGGGTTGAACCCAGGGGTGTTTTACCACTGAGCTACATTCCCAGTCCTGTTTTGTTTTGGTACTGGAGATTGAACTCAGGGATACTCGACCATTAAACTACATCCCCAGCCCCATTTTGTATTTTATTTAGACAGGATCTCACTGAGTTGCTTAACACCTTTTGCTGAGGCTGGTTTGAATTTGTGATCCTTCTGCCTTAGCCTCTCGAACCACTGGGCTTTCAGGCATGAGCCACCTTGCCTGGCCTCAGTCCTTTTTATTTATTTATTTATTTATTTATTATTTATTTATTTATAAAGGTATCCTCAATACCTTTATTTTATTTATTTTTATGTGGTGCTGAGGATTGAACCCAGGGCCTTGCACATGCTAGGCAAACGGTCTACCGCTGAGCCACAATCCCAGCCCTTTTATTTTTATTTGAGATAGGGTCTTGGTATGTTGGTGAGGTCTCAATAAATTGCTGGAGCTGGCCTTGAACTTAAAAGATCCTCTTGTGGGGCTGGGGATGTGGCTCAAGCGGTAGCGCACTCGCCTGGCATGCGTGCGGCCCCGGTTCGATCCTCAGCACCACATACAAAGATGTTGTGTCTGCCAAAAAAACTAAAAAATAAATATTAAAAAAAAAAAAAAAGATCCTCTTGCCTCAGCTTCTATGTTTATAGGCATATGCTACAGGTCCTGGCTCAGTCCTAGTGTTCTTTTTTTTTTGGTATCAGGGATCGAAACCAGGGGCAGTTAACCACCACCAAGCCACATCCACCACCCTTCCTTTTTTATATTTTATTTAGAGACAGGGTCTTGTTGAGTTGCTTAGGGCCTAAATAGCTGAGACCAACCTTGAACTCATGATCTTCCTGCCTCAGTCTCCTGAGCCACTGGGATTACAGGTGAGCACCACCATGCCCAGCTCAGTCTTTTTTTTTTTTTTTTTTTATTAAGAGAGAGGGAGAGAGAGAATTTTAATATTTATGTTTTAGTTCTCGGCGGACACAACATCTTTGTTTTCTATGT